CAGCGCATGAAAGACCGTCTTTTTCAAGCAAATAGGGAAGGCAGGCCAAGGACAGTTGATGCTACAAAGGATGTGATTAAGGAAATCTGGGATGAGATAGCTGTTGGAGATGAGTTGCAAAAGTTGGTAGAAAGTATGCCGAGGAGGATGCAGGTGGTGATTGCAGCAGGTGGTGGGCACACACCGTTTTAGTTCTGTATATATGTAGTTTAGTTCATGCCAAGCATAAACCCTACCGTTCGCGCACTTACCCTGACACCCGAGTACTTGTACATGTAGATTGGAGTGGTCGGGCGAGCGGCCCGATATAAGATAAGATTAGATGCCGCCGATGGATTTTGGCCGGGTAACCTGCACACCATACTCGGGAGCATCGTCATAGCGGTTATCGACTTGTCTCTCCCTTGGATGGCGTGGGTGGGTTGAATAGTTTCACAGGCCTGCCAGCAGCTAATCTTTCCCTCCCACATCCTACACCACCAATGCCTGCACCACCTTCCAAGAAGCGAAGAGTCGTGGTCGAGATATCGGATGACGACCATCTTGACGGATCATCTGTCACGCCTTTGTCCTCCTCTGCGGTGCGGAGGTGCACCAGAGCTTCTATTCGATGGATAGGTGGTAGCTCCGTCGCACCGGCCGTGAACGACACAGTCCTGCCAAAACCCTCGCCCTCGCAATCCTGGTCTAATAGTAAGGCTTCAACAGCGGCAAATGCAGCACCGCTGAGGCCGAATGCGAACAACAATACGGCTGCGAAGCCGAGGAGCACGAAGACTAAGAAGTCTACTGCTTCTTTACGGAAGAAAGCACCGCCGGAGGATCAGCCTATTTATTCGTTTTTTGCGCCAACGCAACGGGCTCCCTCGAGCTCTTCACAAAATGCGAGGGTGAACCTTCCGTCGGCATCGCAGAACGAGGACTTTCACGACCTGATTGAGGACGGGTTTTCCGATGATGTGTTTGAGGGGAGTAGTGCTGTACCGGTTGGATCACAGACCCGCGCTAGTTCCCAGGGCGGAGCTCGGAGGTTTAAGGTGGGTGGTGGTGGGGCTATGGGGAAGGGTCGGATGGAGAGTGGGGGAGCAGGCTCTATGAAGATGGCGTCCAAAGTTTGGATAACTGGTACCTGCTGCCCTGTCCTCTTCTTTTCCCCTTTTTAGTGAACTGACTGGTGATTCCAAGATCCCCGACCTTGGCCCGAGAGGTTTGCCCCGCAGTCACCGAACATGCTGGCGGTAAACCAGAGAAAGGTCACCGAGGTACGGTCCTGGTTTGAACGTGTCTTTGACGGGTTTTCGAAACAAAGACTACTCATCTTGAAGGGCTCCGCTGGTTCAGGTAAAACTGCTGTGCTTAAGGTTCTATCGAAAGAGATAGGCTTTGAAGTGTTAGAATGGAAGAACCCTAGCGGGATCATCCCGACGGCAGAGCCTGGAGGAGGAGGTGCATCCAGCTCTGGCTTGACCGGTGTTTTTGAGGAGTTCATGGGGCGCGCTGGGAGGTTCGGCAGTTTGAGTATGGCTTCTACTGCACCATCTCCCGGGAGCGGGGCCGGAGGGAAGAAGTCTACGAACGGTGGATCGTCACTAGAGATTGATGGGAGTAAAAAGAAGGTGATATTAATAGAAGATTTTCCGAATGCACTATTTACATCCTTGCCAGCTCCTCTGGCGTCTTTTCGGTACACCATCAAATCCTTCCTCGCCGCTCCTTCGCCCCCTCGCCTTCCGACCCCAATCCCTCCTTTGGTGTTAATAATTTCCGAGAGCGCCAACATGTCTGGTTCAAACGCTTTCACTGCCCATCGCTTACTCTCCCCAGAAATTTTACACCATCCGTTAGCAACGTCAATCACTTTCAATAAGATTGCTCCTACGTTCATGATCAGGGCCCTGTCGGCCATAATCGCTCAAGAGTCACGCGAGTCCGGGCGTAGATTTGGGCCAAGCAATCCAATGCTGCAGGCTTTATCCACCAGCGGAGACATCAGGAGTGCCATCATGGGATTGGAGTTCTTGGCGGTGAATGGGGAGCTAGGTGCCTTTTCGGAGAAGGTGAATTTTAATGGGGGGGTAGGGAGGAAGAAAGCGTCCGGAGAAAGTGACCTGAATGAGGTTGAACGAGAGATCTTGAATGCTGTGACCCAACGGGAATCAAGTCTGGGGCTTTTCCATGCGGTTGGGAGGGTGATCTATAATAAACGTGAGTTTGTGTTCACTGTGTGATTCGTGTGAAAAATCGGCTTACCGTTACATAGGGTATGGAGATGACGCCGACGATCCCTATATGCCTCCTCCACCGAAACCTCCTCTGTCCCATATGCCATACAGGGCTAGAACGTCGCGGGTGGACCTTGACAGATTGATGGACGAGGCAGGAACCAGCCCTCAGACGTTCATCTCGGGGCTCCATGAAAACTACCTTGGTTCTTGTACTCTTCTCGGCGGCCTTTCCCACAGTGACTATTCCATGGAAGATGCCCTCACCTGCACAGTCAACTGTATTGAAAGCCTCAGCGACAGCGATCTTTTAGCTTCCCCAAAGCCCTATCACCGAATCCTCGGCCGATTTGGTGGATCTGAAGGTGGCGAGGCGGCAATGGGGTCAGCTGGAGTCCGCCAGGACGAAATATCTTTCCAAACCGCGGTGCGGGGAGTCCTCCTCGGCCTGCCAACGCCCGTGAAGCGCGAAAATCGCGATACGAAGATGTACTACCCCACCTCCCTCCGCCTCTGGCGCGACCAAGAAGAAGTCGAAGGTCTGATAGACCTCTTCGCCAAGCGCATCCGCACTGACAGTGATTGCGGTGGCATTGGCGGCGACGGTATTGTGGGAGCCGATCGCACGGAGCTAACGATGGAACGCATGCCTTACTCTAAGATCATACTGAAAGCCCGCCAGCGGCGGAAAGCTACCGCGGGGCCCTTCAAGGGGAGGGTCTTTGAAATTTCTGACAAGGCAGCTGGAGCCGGCGCTCTTAAGGAGCTAGAGAAGGTCACAGACCTTAAGGGCGTAGTCTCCCCTCGCACTGAGAGCGTCCCCAGCCACGATGACGGCGATGAGGTGGCACAGAGCTCACCACCAGATGAACTGGAAGCGGCGGAGGAGCACGACAAACTGCCCTCGCGAAGGTATGCTACCGCGTGGAATTACAAGAAGGGTGCGTGTGAGGAACCGGACACAGCTGCACAGGTGGAAAGATTAGTCCTTAGCGACGATGACATAGAGGATGATTGATGGGACTTTTTCTTTTTTCCCGTTGGAATCGACTGATCGATTGACAATGCTGGGCCTTTATGTCTTGAATTTATTGTATTATAGAGTTGTGCTAGGGTTGAGTCGTTCCTGGGTAAAGGGAGACTTGAAGGTGGGGGGTGGCGCTTTGCTGTTTCGCTTGTTCTGATTTAGTGTGGCACCGGTGGTATGGGATGGGCCTTCGATGGTCTCTTGTTCTATATCGCGCTCTGGGGCAAAATTACTGTAGTCATTAGACGTCACTCGGAAAAGTTTTGTTTGCTGTGTGGGAGGGGTATTTTGGGGTGGGATTTTTAAGCTAAGGTATTGCGGCGGGAGTAGCCTAGGATGGTGCGATTTCTTTTCCCTGAAGATATTGTGGATGGCAAACTATACAGTACACAGCGTTATACCCGCAATATTTGTCCTCCAGACAGGCAGTTAGCTCGCATAACGTCTATTTCGATTCCGCACACCCGTAGCAGTACTTTCAAAGGAAAAGCAAAGATTCCATTCCGCGATGAGTAGAGTGAATTGCTAATGCCTAGAGTACACCTCGGGAACCCTAACGAAAACAAGCGGATAAGTTTTGAATACATACCACTTGCCGCCGAATAGGTACCGTGGCTACAAACTAAAAAGACTCGATCGAACTATACATTATAGGAAAAGAGATAGACCGAAACCTCAGGACATAATTGTGCGAACGAAAGAATAGTGAACCCGTGACAACAAGAGGAACCTTTTTTTTTTATGCCAAAATGTCAACCAACAAAGGAAAGCAAGGCGTTCAGAAGATAAAATTAAACAGGAAAATGAATTCCGCCATAAATAGTAAAAAAGTGGAAAAGCGGAGGAGAGACCAATAATCAATGGGGACAAGAGAGAATTAGTGTTTCGAGTTACCTGGCCTGGGGAGTTGCGATTTAGCCTTCTTCCCCCTCTTCCTTTTTGATTTGCCGGGGGCCCTATGAGAAGTGGACTCTGTGGGTACTACCGACCCTTGCGGCCCGGGGGAGGGGCTACTTGGTGTGGAAGGTGTGGATTCTGGGGTGTTGGGCCTCGAGTTCTCAGCTAGCATTCCCTCAACCGTTGCTTCGCCGATGGTAGTGGATGAGAAGTCGCGCTTCTCGCTTATGCTAGCGGAGTGGCGAAGGCTGTTCATTAGCATCTTTCCGGGGGAGGCTCCCCTAGATTTACCATCAGACAGCGAGGGTTTGTTGAGGCCCATCCTTGACATCCCAACGATGGCGGAGGTGGGTTTTGGCTTCGTTTCGTCAGCCCCGGGCTCGAGATCAGCACTGTTGAGTATTGCGTTATCGGCCTGGAGGTTCCGTTCTTCAGCCTCAGGCGATGGCTCCACAGTTTTTGGCTCATCAAATTTGCTATTTAGTGCTATGGCTTCAGATTTTGTGTCCATGATGGCTTCAGATTCTTGGACTGCACCGTTTGGCTCTTCGCCCCCAGCAGCTGGTTTCTTATTGGCTGGTTCTTGCGCGTTTGATTCATCGATCGTTGGCTCTTCGGGCGTTGGCTCCTCGGGGGTTAGGTCCTCGACTTTAAGCTTCGCCAACCTGGTAATTAGTTGCTCAGCCTCAGAATCTTTGAGCTCAGAGCCAGAAACTTTTCCGCTGGACTCCACGATCTGGGGAACCGGAGTAGTGAGCTTTGGATCCACCCCGATCTCCTTTTCAGCCTCTGGCTCATCGAAGAACAATCCCTTTACTTTTGAGCCTTCAGCAGCGAACTCCTCGATCATCGGACTTTGAATCATTGATTCCCCCGCCAGTGGCTCTACGGTGTCCACCACGATCGCTAGGAGGCCTTGAGCTATAGGCCCCCTAACAGGGGAGGCGCCTGCCTTAGCTTCGCTGACCTCGGGGGGGGCAGGATGTTCAGTTGGAGCTGCCTCAGGGTTTGGGATTTCGGGGGCAGCGCCGCTAAGTGCGTCGTTGATTACTAGCCCGGTGGTGGTCAATGTGGATGTATTTGCATCCCCTGACATCTCTGGGACTGATATGGGGGCAGTGTCCAAGGCCTCAAGAGAGGAAATTGGTTCCTTGGTGCCCGCCTCGGTCGGGGTGTTGGGTGGGATTTTTGGGTTCTCTACGAGTGTCTCGTTTGATCGCTCTTTAGGGCCCTCGTTGACAATCTCGGTGGGATTCTCCTCTCTATTATCGACTTCGTGCCTTTGAGTTATAGGGGGCTTAGGGGCGGACACATCAGTTGATGCTCCTTGGGGAGTCTCGGTGGGAACGGTGTCGAGAAGGCACTGGCCCTCTGGTTGGAAAACTAGCGGAACTGGGGCCAGTACTTCTGCGGGAAGAGTCACAACTTCGCTTTCCACGGCATTTTGGGGATCCTCAGTTGAACCCTCCTGTGCCGTAGTTTGGATCTCGTCAGCGGCGATCACAATTTCGCCTGGTTCCGCTGATTTTTCCTTGGCTCCTGCGGTATTGGCTGCTCTTGTTAGCTTCGTGAATACAACTGGGTTGTATTATAGCCAGGAAAATGCCAATCTTCTAAATTTGCGTGTCTCACCTTCGGTTGCCAGTTTATGGTCTTTGGGAACTGAAACTGTTTGAGGAGGGCTTACGGAATTAGTTGTGTTACTGGGTGCAGCAACATCCTCGGGCTGTTGCTCAAGCGCTGTTTCAACCGTGTCGTCGGTTTGCTCGGTTTCGCCAGTAGCCGAGGGAGCGACAATGCCTTGATCTGAAGAGGCGGTATCTCGCCTTGGAGAAGCCGCGAGCCTATCGATAGAGCTTAGGTTGATCGCGCCGAGTGACTCGTCTTCGGCTGTTTGGGTATTTATTAGGGCTTGTTGAATCGCTATCCCAACCTCAATCTCCTCATCTTCCCCCCACGTTTCGTTTTCCGCAAGACTGGCCTCAGTAGGTGTCTTTTCATTAGGAGCGGTGATTTTGGCATCGGCTTGGTGTTTACAATCGGGATTCTCAAGCTCTTGACGCTCTAGATACTCATCATCACATTCCAAGGCGACTCGTGCTAGTCCCTCCTCGAGCGCGATGAGATCCGCCGCCCTTCCCGCTCTTGAAATCTTCCCGATGGCCTGTTTTCCTACGAGTTCTGCAGTAAAGCTCTCGATTTCTTCAGCAGCTACCCTATCGGCAACCTTCCTAATCTCTCGTTCGGCATTTTCGACTGCCAGTCGTTCAGCTTCATCCCTAGCAACCCTTTTTTCTTCTCTCCTCACCATGTCCTCCACCTCCTCTTCCACCTGTCTCTTGGCATCCTCTTTTGCGCTAGTATCCTCCTGTTCATTTAGGGGCCTCACCTTCACCTCCTTCTCAGTAGCTACAGCCTTGCATTCATCTTCCCTTTCTGAAGCTAGAGAGAGTCGCTTCTTTTCCTGTGCTGTGACGAGTTGCGCGTCAACAGGAAGCGCGGGCACGGAGCCCAAGGGGCTTGTCTCGATACTCCGCTGGAGGGCAGGTAGACAATCCATGTATAGGGCAACCCCTTTGGAGAAAACAACGCCAGTATCTAGCGAGGCCCCCGGACGATATAATGAGGGTAATGTTCCCTCGCGTGAAAAGATCGGGAGCAACGGGAGGATTATTTCGTGGCGGCACCTAAGGGATTTGAGCTGGGCGACGGTGTCTAGGTTGTCTGCGTATGGCTTTTCATGCTCGTAGACGTGCCCAAGCCATAAATTCTCGTTCGTCCCATCTAATGACATTGACGCAGTAAAGATTTCGCGCTCGACACGAGCGTGCCGCCAGGTCTCAACCGCAAATTTCACAATCCTCGAGATACCAGATGTGATGACGTCCATCCTCTTCTGATCCGCGAAAGGTTTGACGTGCCCAGCAATCTCCTCGATCACATTGGTCGCAGCCAGGTTAGCCGTCCTCTTCGCATTCGATCCAGTGTACCCAGCGAGTAGAGTATAATACCGCCAGATTGCTTCCTTTCGGGTAGACTTCTCTCGAAGCTGATTTGACATAGCCTGCAAAAAGCTGTCGGCTTTGTCATACCGCCTCCCTAGGTAGAAAAGGAATGGCTGGAAAATCCTGTGGCAGAGGTACTTGGAGATAATATGCTGAACATATGCCATGCGAATGAGGCGAGAGGCGTCAGTGTTTGCAAGCATGCATGGTAGCCCAGATGGAAGTTCCGCAAGGACTCTCTAAAAGGGGGGATGTAAAGTAAGTAAATTGCATCGAGTGATTAAGGGTGATTCACGCGAGAGAGGAAGCACATACTCCACTAGGTGGAACAGGTAAGTTCGAGAATTCCTTCGAGATATCAATAATATCTTTGGACAACTTGGTGAAAGCATCGATACTGGTTAAAGCTAATCAGGGCTTCGGTATACACCGCTGGATGCAGGAAGCTTACTAATACCCATCACCCCGACTCTTCCTTTCTTCCCCTTCCTCCTCCTCTGCGGTTCGTTTAACCAACTCTCTAAGCCCTCTAACTTCCTTTTTTAAGTTGTCCCGTATACCCTCCAGATCCTTTACCTCGGCATCTAGCTTCCGTTGATATGCCTCCCACTCCGACTTCTGACGCTCTGCCTCGGATATCAGCAACGCCTTATCGGCTTCTAGGGTTACCACAGCATCTCCAAGAGCAGCTTTCTGATCAAGGAGGGTATGCTTATCACCGCGCAGCGATAGATTAGCCTTCAGCGCAGCGCTGTTCTCTTCCTCTAGAGTCTTGACTATTCGACCCAGCTTTGTTTTCTCGTCATTAAATTTTGCAGTTAAATTTTGGTTTTCCTTCCGCCATTCCGTCTTTGCCGCTTCGAGAGACTTTTGCGTTTCGAATTTTTCGGCTTCGCATATTTGCCGAATGCCCTCAATCTCTGCATTGAAGTGGAGTTCTGCGGCGAGTTTCTGGGAGGAAAACGACTCTTCAATTTCTCGTTTTTGCGAAGAAAATTCAGTTTCCATTGAATTCTTTTCGACCGTAAAGGAAGCCTGAAGCGAAGCCTTTTGATGCGCAAAGGCTTCTTCCAGCTTCTTCTTTTCCGAATTGAAAACTGCTTGCATACCGCTCTTCTCGGTAGAGAATTCGGTTCGCAACCGTAAGAGGTTGTCCCCGAGAGATTTTTCTAGAGCACTAACGATCGATTCGTGGGCTTTCTGAGCCACCCCTAGCTCATCCCCGTGGCTATCCTTTAGCCGCTGTATTTCGTTAGCATGGGCTACCTCAAGCTCCTGGCAACTAGCTAGATGCGTCTTAGCTATATGAATTTTATCGGAGGAATGAGATGCTTCGATGGAGCGTTGCTTCAAGAGGAATTTGGCCTCCATGGTTCTCCTCTCGGCATCGTGAGCTGTGATGGTGGAACGTCTGTCCGCTTCGTTAGCCTCGAGTGTATCCCGCTGCCAGTTCTTGAATTCTGCCGCCAATTCCTCCTTCTCAATGGTTAATCGTTGCTCTAAACGTGATTTCTCTTCATCTTTATCCTCTATGATCCCTGATAACCTTCGGACCTCGGTCTCTATGTTGGAAAGCTGCCTCTTCAAGTGGTCAAGCTCTTCAGTGCTCATTTCCAGATTCTGTTCTAGATCAATTTTCACAGCCTCCAATTCGACCTTTTTCTCCTGCAGTTCCCGCATGTCTTTTTCTTGCTCGTCAGCGATATGCTGGAACCTCCCCAACTCATCAGTGACGGCCCTGTGCCGATCGCAGAGATGCTGCAAACTATGGATCGGCATAGTGAGTGACTCCAAGGCGCCTTGGGCCCTCTGTATCAGTCCGTCAATATTCCCGTGAGGGTCTGCGTCATAGGCTGCGGAAGGGGAGAGCGTGCCAGAAGTGCTCTGACCAGGGTAGATGGGGTTGTCATCGACAGGCTCATCATAACCGTACATAGAACCAGCGTTGGACGTCGGGTAGGTAGGGGGATACCCTGGCGAGCCAAGTCGGCGTAGTGGATGTGGGTGCTCTGGTGTATCCATGGCACACCCGACAGGTTGATATCGTTGGGCGAAGGATGAGCGACGGGGCTGTGGGTGACCATTTGTCGAAGATGCGTACTGACTACCATATTCACTTCTGGGGGATGTGTAATTATGTAGGGGTCTGGGAGGCAGGTAAGGAGTGGGAGCTTGGGGTGTTTGCTGGTAGTAGATGGGGTGAATTGCTGTGCCGGGAGGGGTTTGTAGGGGTGAGGGGGGATAATGACATGGGTGAGGTTGGCGTGACCCCATAGCAGGTGAATCAGGGTAGGTGGGGGATCGAGGGTTGACTCTTACAAGTCTTGTGGGAGGGTCACCCAGGGCGGTCATCTTGTCAGTTGACGGAATCTTTTCCGGGATTGTTTCGGATGCCCCGGTGTTTGTGCCAACAAGGGCGGCGGTACGCGGGAGCGGAGATTCAGGCAGAGGGGTATCAGCAGGAGAGGGGTTTCTCGGCGGGAGTGGTTTAGTAGAAGCCATTGCGAATCTCCTGTTTTCTCGTTTTCAGATCCCAAAAGAGTAGATTGAGGAGGGCAAAGTATAAGGGGACGGGGTGGTTATTGAGCTAAGCTGGACGGAGAGTTTGAAGTTGGGGATTGGAGAGAGCTACGGTCATTATATTTGCCATTATTAGGCCACGAGTTAGGCAGAGCAGGGGGATTGAGGTGTGTCGGAAGCTGATATATGACGCAAACCCACGAGTATTTCGGTGTAGGAACGGGGGGATGGAGCAGGAAGGGCTGGTAAGCCGATTGAGCACATACCACACATGAGGCGTAGATACAGTATCTCGTTCCCAAAGACCTCCTTCGTGCAAATGCAAATGGTAGGACTAAAATTTCTCTACGCAAGTAATTGATTGATGTCAGCTTCAGATAACAGATGAGGGGCAGCGAGGAATGGAATGCCTGAGTGGTTTGGTGCGGGGGGCAACTAACGAGACTGTGGGGATAAAAAAAAGCAAACTGAGTGCAAATATCAAATCGAACGGCTTCCAGCAGCTAGCTAACCTTCCTTTCAAAACCGGGCAAACAAAACACCTGCACTGACCCGAAAGCAAACCCGCGTTTCAACAAGGACTAGCAGTTGGAAGGATGTTCATGATTGATTAGCCAGTGCCAGTGCCAGTGCAATTGGGGAGAGCAAGGCTTATATGGAAAATTTTGTGGAGGAGGACGGACACAGACTGTTTGATTTGATGCACAATCCACCACCATGTTGAAAACTTGACGGGGAAATGAAATGGGAGGGGGGGGGGGTTAGAATTAGATGAGTGCGAGGTCGTGTTGGGGGAAAACATGGGCGGAAAGGAGTGAGATGGTGAGATGGTGAGATAGTGAGTGAGTGAAATGGGCAGGTGACGGGTTGATAATAATTTGGATCTTGTTCTCCGGTCTTGCTTCAAGGTAAATGTATACTGTAATGGTGCTAAATGATTTAGTTCCGGAGATGTAGCTTACTGTCCGACTGGTTCAGTAAATCCATGGACCAATAATATAGCAACCAAATATATCCCAATGGGCTAAACCTCGCAAACAAACAGCGGCTAAGGTAGAGAGATGAGGAGAGGAGATGATGGTACTGTGCGGCAGCACGGGTAAAACTGGAGGTGCGAATAAGTTAAGGCTCCACAGGGGTAGAGGTCCACACATTGCCGCATCCCCCAATATCAGCAATCCACTCGAGTGGTTTACTATTAAATTGGAAATATGAAAGGGTTTGTAGGACGGGTATAGGGAATGCAGGGTGGATTGGGGAGGTATACTTATAGGTGCGACGTGGCACCTCACGGCTGACGCTTCACTATTTCTGTCCAATTGTTTATTAGGCGAAAGTGGGAGAGCGGGGACCGATTTATTCCGTTGGTCCGTGGGGGGTTCTGTTATCAATTTAACTGCATCTGTCGGAGGTGGAAATCTAAATTTCCTCCGCTGATGACGGCTTGCAACGCCGTACCGGCGGTCTGCTTCAATTATAGCTGTCAGTGGGGAGGGAATGCTGAGCTCCCGCGAAGGGAGGCTAGGGGGGGATGCGATAATCTAGCTATAGTCTACGGTACTTGGGGCACTGGAGTCCATAGTATCGCGTTGTGCGAGGAGCGTACCGGGCATCAAGAGTAAATTTGTCGAACTTCCCCTCTGGTTAGCCCAGTAGCCTCCCAGACACTCGGAGGACGGCATTCGCTCGACTCGAGTAGCCATTCGACAGGGGTTCGAAAGGCTTTTTTCCTTCTCCAAAAGTTAGCGTGCGAGTAGATTGGCCATAGCTGCAGAGGGAAATAATAGAGAGGGGAAAAAAAACCCCCCGTTTGCGCTCGTGTCAATTTCGACGAATCCACCAAAGTTCGACAGACTTATGCTCACACCCTACAAGGAGTATGGTACAGTACAGTACGGGACGATGATGCGAGGTTGGTATGGTGCACTGTCCGAGTACTGTACTGAACTAGCACGTAAGAGTACGGTGTAGTAATACCGGTAAGGAGAGCTTGGCCTAAGTTTAAATGCACCTGCCTGTGACTTGTGGCCTACTGCAGATCAGCTGCGGAAAGCATCAGCCAGCGGATTCTCCCACAACGGTAAAAGGAAAGGCCTAACGCCCCGCCACCACCTGCTTGCCGTCCGCATTAGCCGCGGCACTGCTCGTGCTAAATTTACTGTTTCTCGACGAGTCCTCGTGAACCTGATGGGGTGGGAAGATTGATCCATGTAATTCCATACTCTACCCGGGTACCGGCACTGTACTCGAGTACTTGCACCAAGAGTGCTAGTGCGATACCGGTCCTCGAGTGTTTGAGGATGGGAGTTCTCGGAACCGGGAGACCGCTTTACCATATACCCGCACTCTGCAGTCACACTCTGGAGTCCTGAGTATGAGGATGAAATTGGGGTTTAAGTTACCTGGACGCCGCTAGGCCATCTATTACATGGTTATCGGATGGCCTAAATTTACAGCGCTGTGCGGTGCTCGAGTATTGAACATACAGGAAGAGAGTCTGTGAACGCCTTAGCTCCTGCGCTGAATGATAATTACTGTCACCTCACTACCTTCCGGATAATTCCTCTATCTAGCCGGGAACTTCCAAATGGCTGTTCGTTTCTCCCGGAGTGGAGACTGGTGTATGTTTAGGGAAATGGGAAACATCTCTTTCGGATGATCCGGGGAGGAGTATAGGAGTACTGTCCTACCGGGCGGGGGAACCTTTTAATTGCTGTTCGAGAGGTTTGCCTCCGAGATAAGGCTATTCGGACGAGGTTTAGGGAACCGCTGGTGTGAGATATTGCATTGGTTCAGAGCAATGTTGATCGTGTTAACGGGAGGGTGGCTGCCTGCCCGGACTCGGGGGCTGTACTGTACCGGTACCCCAGCATCATTGATGCTCGAGCTGTCAAGAGTGCAGAATCGGTCCAAGGGCGGGGGTGTGGTTTTACGAATAGTAGCAGGTTGCAGTCGCAGTCGCTTTCAGTGTCCGGCGCAGGAGCGGTAGTCCGATTCGGAGGGGGCGGCTTTTGTGCCCGTGCTGTAGGAGGAGTTGATCAGTGGATATTATGTGGAAGAGTTCCGGACGAGAGCTATCTCGGGTGGTATATTGTGATTATTGGGGGACACCGCTATCGCTGTGAGTTCGGGGAATGCGAGGACGCTCAAGCTTCTGCGAGTGGGCTACTAAGTGTGGATGCTTGGAAAACCGAGAGTATCTGTGAGTTTATTGCATAGGCTATGCACGTTATATAGGTGGACTGTGGGCAATGTACTTGAACGGTGGTTTAACATTTCTATTGGAGTGGTGTATTGGCTGCCCGGCAGTGATGCAAAACTTGGCCAAGTATTATCGTACTCACCATGTCCGGATAAGTTGGACTTTTGATAACTTATTGGGAGTTAATGGGGGTCTTTGCTTTCATATATATATATAATCTTACATTGTAATATTACTCCGAGGAATAGATCGCAGGGAAAAAGCGGAGGGGAGACAGCACCCTATGATATCTTAAAAGATAACAATGATTACTGAGACGAGCCTGGGCAGGATACTAATGGCGGCTCCTGGCCGCCAAAAGCGCATAATAATAATACAAGATACTGATGTTAGAATTCAAATTCTCCCAAAGGATTTGGGTGCTTTAAGGCTAGTCCAATGTTATGAATGTCGCGTCCGACGCCTGCAACCTTGAATACTGGTGCTTATTATAGCTAGAGCTTTGAGCTCCTGAGATGACCCCAAACTCCTCTTAGTCGGTTTATCGTTGTTGGCGACTGCGGCTCTTTCCCTTTCCCTTTGATTTCTTCCCTCGCTCGGCGGAGCAATCCTACCAAATCTCCCCATATCTCCTCACTGTACTCAGACGTGTTGGATAAAAAGTCTATGGGATCGTCGCACGCAATGAACTCAATGACTGCTGGATGCGCGGCATCTATTTGGGAGAGATCTGGAGGAGGGAGTCCGAGGAAGTACAAGGGCTGTGAAAGTAGGTCAACGACCGCCTCGCCGTCATTTGTTACCGAATCTCGGGACTGCGGGTGATTGTAATTTTGATACGTTGAAACTGTACGATCGGTTGAGAAGAGCTGGAACTCGATTTCCGAGGTTAGCCCGCTGAGTGGCTGGGATTTGAAACCTGCAGATGTTGCTGCATATGAAGCGCCAGATGAAGCGGGATGAGGAGGATTGGCAAAAACTGATGGGCTACTGGATGGGGCGGTTGAAGGAGACTGAACTTTCCCAGATGATCCGGAAAAGGAAGCAAAGGTCGCGTTGACAGAGGTCGAATCTTGATGAGCAAGGGAGGTCAGGAGTGATGATGCCGACGTGGCTATGTTTGAAATGACCTGAAAAGGGGGGGAGGATGAGTGGGCCAGTTTTGATGCTGGGGAAACATGACTCGCATCCGTGGTCGATCCCGCGTTAATAGAATCCTGCGCGAGAGGGAAAGGATGAAGAGGGAGAAGAGGAGGGGTGGAGGGAGGGGGAGGAAGAGGGGAGGCCATTTTAATGGCAGCCTTGGAAATTGTGGAAAAGTTCTGAGCATTTGAGGCTGCTAGTGGTGGACGAGATGGATGAGACTTTATTCAAGGGTTTGGTTAAAAGCGTGAACCGAGGGGCCGAGGCCGGGGGGGTCTTGGGTTGGGGGACAACCTTTTTTGAACCCACCCAAGGTGACCGGGCGAATCTTGCAAGATGCCCAGAATATACCGTACTCGTATCAAGGGGAACAGTCGATGGAAATTCTGGGAATTCTTTAACCGATGGTACGATAGGGTCGTAATATCATGTGAACGATGATTTGCGGGAGGCTCAAGGATGGTTTGAGGGGATTATGCATGGCATAGTGGAACGGTTAAGGTCACGCTCTTTTCCATCGGCAGGATAGCAATCGTGTACAGTAGGGGTTTTCAAAGTTAAAAACATGATTTTTCAGTAACGAGCAAATGCCAGAAGTTGCATAAGCTTACTTTCTGGTATCAGCCAATAGCATCCTCATGTTCCAGGTACCATATTTGAAAGTTCTAAGGTAACCGAAGGCAAAGTACAAAGGTTATGGTAAATCTTACAGAGATGGTAAGAAACCAGTTTTTGTCAACAAAATATCAAAAGTCAGAAGATTTTTATCAGTGAGGGTACATAATTATTCCTGGGATGTGCTATGGTATTTTTTAAAATTGGGTTTTTTTTTAAAAAATTTCTTTTTACATCATGTCTGATTTTAGAGGGTTGGTAAAGCTGTGTAAAACCAGGACCAGTATCCGTTACTGACCTCCAGACCTCCGTCTCTACCCTATGGTATGGTAAAGTTAAGTAACAGTAAATTAACCATTTCTGTGCATGCTAAGTTTACATAAAACAGCAAAGTAAGCTAAAAATTTTGCTACCTTTTTAACTTTGAAAACCCCTAGTACGGTACTCGAGTACAGTAGAGTACCGCCCGGTGGGAGCTAGGATTCCCCCAGTATGGTTGTTGCAATAATCTTCAGTGTAGAGTATGATGATGAGTCAACGATGGTGCCACCTCAGGGATCTCCGTACAGTATCTCTTTGTTTGACAGGGCGGCACCAACCAATGGCGTCACACCTCAGGGAATGTCTGCCGTCCAGGAATAAAATGGGATTGTGTTCGAGACAAAGGTGGATACCGGCACTATTTTTTTTGAACTATTTCGTTACAGAACTGTAAAAGTGGCGAATACAGGGTGAACGACTATAGTTGGCTGCATTGTAGAAGCTTTTTAAATCCACCATATTCGTATTGTGTGCTATCGACACGGGTGGCGGTCTACTGTACGAGTAGGTACGCTAATTATCGTATATCATCGTTGTCTCTTCCAGTTACATAGCTTGACCCAAAGCAACCCAGAGTAGGCAGCCGAACCCCAATCCCCCCGCCCCACCTCTTGCCTGTCGAGCCCAAATACTAACTTGACCACCGCTCTGCCCGCTTCATTCTCTCCCTCCACCACCCCACAGATACCACCGCTCCCACTCCCATTGCCTCGACTGCCACCACCACCGCACCACAGCTACCATCACATTCATCAACAATTTCACGTACGCCCGCTTTGGCAGATAATCTTCCACTTGGCGTTCGATAAGCGAAGTGGGGTTGCCTTCGCTCGCTTCCTGGGAACAAAGGGACAAAGTAAGTGACCCCTCGTCCCGTCCCATACTTCCACCTTTCTAACATCACTCGATCCTTAGGGACCGGCCTTCGCATTCTATCTGGCCCTGAGCATCTATCTTATCGAAATTATAGTCAACTCTCCTTGCCCGTCATACTTCATTTTCAGCTCCATTCGAAACCTCTCTGCCGTAGCAATCCACTTCATCCTCGGGCCGTCAAATTTATCTGGAATTAACTCTTTTCCGCTTGTTCTTTGTTGGTCTAACTATTCTGACGCAACAATGGTCGACGGCGAGATAGCGTCGCCGACGTGGAAGTTTACACAGTAAGTTCGCTCTCGTGGTTGCTTGGTTCCGCGTAGTATCTATTTTTGGCCTGGGGCAGGGGTTCAATCAAACCCCACTTCTCCAGTGATATCATGGATGGAGTGTCGTATATCATGGTGAAGAGATGGAAAACTGACTGGGTATATCGATGACAAGATGTTTCGGGGATAAAGGGGATGTAGAAGATATTACCGAGGGTGAGTTCCGGCACAAGATTCCTCCTTCCTGGTTTGTTGCTGATCCCTTGATCACTTGCTCCTTAGCCGACATAATATCGACTGTTGAGTTCGATCATACTGGCAACTATTTAGCTACGGGAGATAAGGGTGGGCGTGTGGTGCTGTTTGAGAGAAACGAGACAGTAAGCTTCTGCCTGGAATTATCGACAAAGACTGGTCATGCCAGATTAAAAACCTTGGCTGATCAGAACTCTTCCGCTCTCGATAGAAAAAAACGTGCGAATACAAATTTCATACCGAGTTCCAGTCACATGAGCCGGAGTTCGACTACTTAAAATCTTTGGAGATTGAGGAGAAGATTAACAAAATCAAGTGGTGCAAACGTCAGAATGCTTCCCATTTTTTACTCTCTACAAACGACAAGACAATCAAGTTATGGAAAGTTTTTGAAAAGTCACTCAAGGTGGTGGCGGAGAACAATTTATCTCATGATGGCGCCTCGCCCTCTGCCGGAGGTGTACGACACCATCTTGCACAGCCGCCCCCAACCTTTAACAACTCGTCTGCACTTCGGCTTCCGCGACTGACGCACCATGATACTGTGGTAGCCGCAGTACCCAGGAGAACTTACGCGAATGCCCACGCTTACCATATCAACAGTATTTCGGTGAATTCGGATGGAGAAACGTTCATTTCTAGTGATGACCTACGCATCAATCTTTGGAATCTCAATATTCAGGATCAGAGCTTCAACATTGTGGATATCAAGCCGGCGAATATGGAGGAACTGACGGAAGTTGTTACCGCTGCAGAGTTTCATCCACAATATTGCAACTGGTTCATGTACGCAAGTAGCAAGGGGACTATAAAGCTGGCGGATATGAGAGAAAGCGCTCTTTGTGACCAACATGTGAAGCGTAAGAACCCGCTTTGCCGTTCGCTAACCTCCCAATAACACGTGTGTCGGTCGGTGTCTAATTGGGTTTGTTGTGTAGTATTCGAGCAGGAGGAAGACCCAACGTCGCGTTCGTTCTTTTCAGAGATTATCTCATCGATCTCTGACGTCCGATTTTCCTCCGACGGTCGCTATATTCTCTCGCGTGACTACCTGACAGTCAAGATATGGGATATTAATATGGAGAACAGACCTGTCAAAACTATTCCAATTCATGAGCATCTACGGCCTAGGCTTTGTGACACTTATGAGAATGATTCGATCTTCGACAAGTTCGAGGTTGTATTCTCCGGCGATGGGAATAATGTAATGACTGGGTCGTACAACAACAACTTCATGATTTACCCTAGCGATCCCGAGAAGGAAGTCGAGGTTGTCTTGCAGGCGGACAAGAGTGCCTTCAAAGCCAAGAAAGTTGGCGTACCTACTCCTATCAATGGTGGAAAGAAGGGAGGTTCGAGGGCCGGAAGTCCTGCTGCTGGGTCTGGTCCGGGAGGTCGGATGAGAAAGGAAACAGACGCGGATCAAATTGACTTTAACAAGAAAATCTTGCACATGAGCTGGCATCCGTTTGAGGACTCAATTGCTATTGCAGCAACAAATAATGTGAGTCCAAGTTCTAACGACTGTATGGTAATGGGGCATACCATTGACATCATATCCTAGTTGTTTGTCTTTTCAGCACTGTAGATTGGCTAAATTCTGAATTGGGTTTCATTCGATGGATTTGAGCGTTTTTCGTGTTTTCGTTTGTATCGATTGCCAGTGGTTCATCGTGTGTTTAGATGACCTTTCTCAACTGAGTATTTAACTTGCTCATGGTAGACTTGCTACAATTGACCCCTTCTTGACATTAGATTTGTGCGATAAGCGATATATGGAAACTCTCGGTCGTTTGTGTTGTGGAGCCCGCAAGTTGGTTGTGAAGGGGATTACGATCGTGATGAGAATTCGGTCAACAGCACTGGTTGCGGTAGGACACGTAGTATGATACCTCCACAACTGGTAGATCTAACTAGAGGATGTAGTTCACCAGAGGCATTCATGCCGGAGGGATCTTTGATTGCGCATTAGGGCCGGAAGGATCGATTATCCGACACACTTGACTGACGGGATAGCTGACAGCATTAATATCCGGTTCCCCTCCTATTTCGCTTCGCTCGTAGTCGGGGAAAGCAAGTGTGACGTGAAGGCAAGTGTGACGTGACTCTTTATTAACCCGGGTGATATTTAGTGACTTGACCCATAGGAGAAGAAAGTGAAACACCAATAACGAACTTGTACAGAAAAAAATTGTTTTCACAATAAAATAATATGATGAAATACATGAAATGATTTTCGGTCCGTGGGCTAAGTCACAAAATATAGCCCTATTAAAAAAAGAAGTTATGTCACTTGCTTTCCCCCGGTGACCGTATGAGAGTGGCGAAGCGGGAGCCGGTAATTAAATATGCGGTGGGTCTCGTATGCCCCTCATGTTTCGAAAAATCCCCTCAAATGCCACAGTGTCCTCAGATGCTACAGTAATATATTATGTAAGTTTTACATGTGGGATTATCAACACAATGGATCAAGTAACTCTGGGGACTAATGACAGGGGATGCTCCTCAAAGTAGCGCAAGTATTTTGAATACTTCTACTACCTCTGCCATGCTTTTCTGTTCCTCTGCTACAGCTTCCTTATTGCTAGTTTTCCTTTGGAACTAATTCCTTTACCCCTCTATTCTTTCAACTATATTATTCTACATCTTCTATCCTTCCTCCCTCTATTAGTCCTTGGTCTTTCAAGTTACTCTTTCTTGCTCCTCTACTTTTCTGCTGTATCTTGGCTCTATAGGATTCTTAGAGCTCAGCTCTTATGCGCTTCCTACCATACTAGTTAGTGCCTTACTCTCCACTGGTTCTTGCTCTCTGACATTTCTCAATATCTACTCCTACTTGTTTTCCATTATTGCTTGCTCTCTACTATTGCTTGCTCTCTACTATTGCTTGCTCTCTACTATTGCTTGCTCTCTACTATTGCTTGCTCTCTACTATTGCTTGCTCTCTACTATTGTTTGCTCTCTACTATTGCTTGCTCTCTACTGTTACTTACTTGGTATTATTACTTGTACTCTACTATTCCTTACTTGCTATTATTACTTGTACTCTACTATTCCTTACTCTCTGCTATTTTTTACTCTTAATGGTTTCTGACTCTCTCCCATTCCTAGCTTTCTGCTCTTCCTTACTCTCCATCAGTTCTTGCTCTCAGCTGTTCCTAACTCTTTCTACTGTTTCTGACTCTTGGCCTTTTCTGAATCTTGACTATTCCTTACTCTTTATTATCTCTTACTTTCTACTATTTCTTACTTTCTGCTATTCATCAGTAAAAAATAATTCTGTGTCAGATCTGCATGTCTCATATCCTGATGCAGCATGCTCATCCCCTACATCTCCTGCATCTTCTGTATCCTGTCGGTTAGCACCTCTGAGTCTACCACATCATCTTTCTGATACTAAAATAAAATAAAAGCCTAATACCCAGGCTCCCATCATGATGTTTATATCTTTTCAGGTCTTCAGGCTGATGCCAGCTCCAACCAAGGCCCATATTGTACATCATCACAACCTGTTTTTTGTTTACTAGCATATGTTCTCAGATTCTGCATACAATCTCATTCAACTTGAATCTTGTATTATTAATTTTTACTCTACTATTATACAATTATTTCTATTTACAGTTTGAGTTACAACATAATGGTAGGGATTCTGATGCTCCCTACTGGCCCTGTAGTGTATCAGGTATTACGATATAGAATATACCATAGGGCCTCCATTTATTCTCTTGGATATGATTGTAATAAATCTTATTGAATGTCCTCAGATTGATTTTACTATTCACTCGCCCTTGCAAGTTACCAGCTGAGAGCAGGTGCACCTGGTCCAGAATGGTCCCAATGTCCACTATTCTAAACTGTTATGCCTCTGTTCTATACTCTACAGTGACGAGACTATGGGTATCAGATGGCTGCTCAGAATTAACCACAATTGTCATTTCTACAATGGCATGTCAGTAGACTCTATCTGTAACGGGGGCTCCCTCAGGTAGATGGCTCCCAAAGATGCAACCGCACCAAACTTCCAATCTCTTGAACACAGCTCTTGCAAAAGTATAAAGAATAAAAGTAAAACGGTAAAACTTAATATCGTTAAGCTCAGGCTTATCTCAATTAAAGTCTCTCGAGAGGATGTTGATTCTGTCGGGGTAGGAGAGTTCTCGTATAATCTTTAAGTAGTCAGACTTATACCAAAAACTCCCCCATCAGGTTACCCCGACCAACGTGAGTATGCCCTTCTCCGTAAGGGTTGCCCCGGCACCATTACCGTGTCCCTGAAGGGCTGTAGGTGTCAGCGCACTCTAGCAGAAATCTCCTTTATGCACATCAGTTCCTGCAAGATGTTTATCAATACACCTGCCGGAGTAAAAACCTCTGCGCATCGGTATCTCGTCAGTGGCTAACTGTCGAGATCCTTAGGAAAGCTAACTAAATGACTCTCTTCCCATATGCTATGACCTATGCAAGCACTCATAGACATCAGCTGTCCTCCGGCTAAGTTCTATCTTTCTTGATTGTGAACTTAGGGGGTCTACGACGCTCCCTCGGAGAGCTGTGTCGGCGGCGGGACCCATAGGCGCTACCCATGGTCCCTTACCCCCGGCACACCACTCACCGTGATAAGTGTCATGCTATTAGAGTCTTCAAACAACCGACAAAGAGCCTACGGCAAAGGGGCATGTGTAGGCTTGATTGGCGTAAAACCTTCCCAAATGTCTCCGGCACTACCCAGGACTACTCTGGGGATCTTTCCGGATAGCTCACGCTAACTCCGTCAGTTTTGGTCCATTTTACTCCGTTCTTTTTGGAGAAGGTACCTGACCTTCTCACCTTAGCCCCCTTATATATCCTGCGAACAGCCTGCGGTCGGACGGACGGCGACGACGCATGCAGTGTTATGGATATGTCTTCATAGATTCCATTTAACTAGCATAACGGCAACTCCACCCATTTTGGCCCATGACGCCCGGGGCGAACCCTGGGGCCGCAGGTACCTGTTAGGAATAATTCTACCAAGTTACAGCTTGTTCGGAGCACTATAGCTCCTCCCGTAGTCTTCCGATCAAAGTACAATCAAGTGCCCGTCGATCGTCATTGCATAACAAACAATCCTAACATTTCCCGAAATTCCTCCAAGAACATTTCTGACGGAAGGTAGGGTAATAGTGTCCCAAAGGTAGGGTAAGTATGTCCATGGTGACATGAAACCAGTCTCCATGGTAGGGTAACGTGACTTCCTTGGGTAGGGTAAACTCACCCGGCCTTCTGACCTATCCATAGGCTAGAGCGGACATTGTCACGTTATTACCACTACTTAGGTACACCTATTCCTTAAGTACCTTCTGTTCTTAGAGATTTCCGCACCATCAGATATCTCTCGAATATGCGCCTGCATATCCATCTCGTCTACTATCTGACCTCTTGGTCTTATGTATGGGCGTAGACGTAGGTTACCATAGCTCTATATCGTAGGGTCGTTACACTATCCTTGTGCCTGTAGTCTATGATCTTGAACAGCACCCTGAGTTTAGTGGGAAGAGGTCCTTTGTGGGTACCATACATATGCTCCCCTCCTGCCTGCACTTAAACCAAATCATTGTGACTCTGTCGCTTGTAGAAGAGCTAGGAACCTGTACAAAGGACTAGTATCACTTAGACATAATAAGCTTTCATTTCCTGGAACAAAGGAATTCGTACTTCAAGTTATATCATTAGTTCATTTAGAAGCAGGCGAAGCATTCTAGGAGCTTTATGAAGGGAGCCCTCCATTGTCAGGCTACAATGGCTATACTGGATCAATTTATTATAAATACTGTCAGTGTAAATTCCAATCACCTTGCACAAATCCACAATGTTTGAAACATTACATTGTCATCCCTTTTTCATACGGTAGCATGTGACCGACACAGTTGCGGTATCTGCTATCTTAAACAGGTTAACAGCCATCATAGACAAATCTGTACCTTGCCGTCAAATTGTGTCTGGGTTCCAGAGTCTTATGTTGAATTTTCTAATTCATTTCATATGTATATTCTCCTTGATAATATCATATATTCCTCTACTTAGTATTATTTCCAGATTACAAACATTACTACAGCTGGAGTATTTATTACGTATATTTCATTTGATATTTCATGATATGATTAGGGGATGATAGTGTGCTTTTCTCATCTGGTATTCTGGTTTATTTCTTACATTTGAGTGTTGTTATGAGAAAAAGAGTACAATCACTTTTTAGGTGTTTTGAGTTGTACTTACTTTTAGTTTGCATAGCAACCAAAGCCTTCTTGAGAAAAAGGGAAAAACATGTTTTGACAAAGAAATTGAAACAACTCAATAACCAATAAATTAAATAGTATAAAAATAAAAAATAGATAATACTTATTGTTGTTTCTATAATTCTATGTAAAAGATTTTGAATTTTAATTAAGAATTCAAAATTAATATATATTAAGAAAAGATGTAATAGCTGAGTCCGCAGAATTAATAGAATGATTATCTTTGTTCTACTGCTTTATGCTTGCATTTTCTGGTCTTACAATAGGTTAATAATGTCTGGAAAGTATGTAATGTGAATTGATATTTTACTACACTTTTTAACAATAACAGATTGTATTCTTAAAAATATTTCAAAACTTGCAGGCAGGTAGATCTTGAGGTCAGCTATCATTCTATGTAAAAAAAATATTTTGTCATTATTACAAAAATAATCATTACAGACCCACCAAGTCTCAAACTTTAAAATTAAATATATTTCAAGAAGCTAGGAAGATACTCTACCATATACTCTAGCCTCCGAACTATTCATCTAGTGTTGTGGCTGTTGGTAACTGTTATCCTTTTCGCTGAAATGCATACATTTTATGTATTATCATATATGGTCATCCATTATT